CCCCAAAACCCCAAAACCCCAAAACCCCAGCATGTCAAATTTTACAAAAATCTTTTAGTTATATGATTTTTTACTCTAACTACCATAACTATAAAGTAAAGTATACATCTATAATGTTATATCTGAATCTGATTAATGCTTCAGTTACTAGTTTATGATGAACAGCACATTCCTTTTTTTTTGGGTCTATCAACCTATCTTAATTGATAAGTAGATTTAGTACGATAACCTTAGATAAAGCTCAATTATTGCTGATTACTCTATTTCGACTCAATTATTTCCATCATTCTATTGCTTAGATTGATGAAAGCATCGATAATGCTTTCTCCTGTTTTTGCGCTAACTATGAAATGATCTATATCAATCTATCTAAACCTAAACATGAATGTGAATTTATAATAATTATGAATTCAAATACCTACTTTTTTTGCTCTTCACACCAGCGTATTAAATCTTCTTCTTAAACTAGTCTTGGCTAATCTTTGTCACATTTATTTCCTAGCAATATGAAGCCAAAATCAGAAAAATCAGTGGATCTATCTTAATTTTACAGAAATTCTTAAATCCAAGAGTCAAGTTGTTTAAAAGATTCAATATTGTAAAGATCACATACTAATACTACACCATGGACGCCACGATAATACATCCTATTAATACTTTTGAACATTTCAAGACCCATCGTGTCCCATATTTGAAGCATAATAGTATCCTCTGGATATTAAGCTTAACCATATCATGTTCCTCCCTCGCATGATGTTGAACGACTTTTCAAATCGTCTTTTGAAATAGCTTTGTTTGCGAAATCTACTCCGATCGTAGGTTTAATATTGTCTGAGAATACGTTTTTAACATATTTATTGATGATGCAAGTCTTTCCCACTCCTGAATTACCAAGCATTATGACTTTCAAAACAAGCTATTTGGGAGACATCATTTCTAATTATCTTTATTATATTTTAAGTTTTATTACAAGTTAACATGCTTTTTCCATTATCCTGCCCATTAATAACAAAACTAGTTATATTCGATTAGATTTCATTCATTTTGTCTCCAATTTAATAAAATAACTTCTATTCTTGATTCATGGGGTTTTGGGGTTTTGGGGTTTTGGGGTTTTCTTGGTTC